CCGCCTTTTCTTTGCGCGATAGCCAGCTGTTTGTGACGGTGTGTTGTCTACACATGGTGTAGGCGCCTTGACATTGAGTATTAAGGTTTTACACTAGGTCTCACTTCTCCCTCACTTATTGTTCTTCGTTCCTTAGGTTACCGTGTTTGCACAGTAACGAAGGATCAGTCCAGTTGGCAGATGTCCTGCTGTCATAGATTGATTGATTGATTAACGGACTGGGGATCGTTTTGAACAAGGCCGATGACGATGGAAAAATGTTAGCAGAGACGATGGGACAAACACATGAAGGTTGGGGCGTGAACCGTGGCTGCTCTACGAAAATATTTTGACGCAAAAGCGATAGGCCCAAATTCGTGCCTGATTAAGGCCTGTCATGCATCTGGCTTTGTGCTTATCTCATGCGGAATCAAAGTGTTTTGTGGAGGATATATGTTTGCATCAATTTTGATATTTATTATGCATCGGATCATTGTGAACACTTTCGTTTTTTGCAAAATTCTTTATAGTCAGTTTTCCATAAACTTTGAAGCTTAGAGATAAAAGTCGATGCCAGCTTTGAATTCGACATTCTTGCATTTTATAAGAACAGCTGTTAGCTTCTTTGCAGCCAAATATTGTTGCGCAATGTGATCTATCGAGAAGTAGCTGAAAAGTGAATAGTGGCATGTGATCGATTCTCAAAAAATCTGTAGCTCACAGAAAAACAAATGTCATTTGAAATTAGCATGCTCAAATTATATCAGAGCCACTGTTCGTTCCCTTGTAACAACAATGTTGCACAGTGTAATCGTTGCGTGCGAAGAATTGCTGCCGTTGGATGGCTTCGATGATATACCCAGGCGAGTACTACATGGGGCTAGTCATTCTGGTTCTTTAAGACAACAAATAATACTGAATAATCCTCGTTGGCTTAGACGCGTGCTGCTTATGCCTGGTCAGCGCTTACCGAGGAGAGCCTCGTTTTGCTGACCATATGTTTGGTGACGCAAGGATCGAAATGCGCACTGCGGAAAATGACGGCATCGACGACAAGACTAGATGCTGTTGGTCCGTCTTGCCATCCAGGCTGACGGTCCTGTGACCCACCTTGTGCTTGGTTCGAGTCTTTGTAAGACATGACTCGCAGTCGACACCGGTGTCTGATTTACTGTCGTCTTCTCATCGGATTGCCTATTTAACCTCTGTCCGACGCTAACATATCCGCGGGACACTGAATGCCACAAATAAGCCTTCTCGTCCATGCTTATGACCGTTTGTTTGTAGTAAAATACAGGCGCGCTTACCCTGAATATTTGGTTAGGACATTCGGATTTTACACTGGATCTTTTTAAGCTGGATAAATTTCATTCAACTTTATTTGGTTTGTTCTGTCTACCTGAATAATCTATTAACTGACCACATTGCTTACGCTAATTGTGGTTATCTTCGTTAACTTTAATGTGTTTGTAGTATTTTTTGAGTAACTTCTGGACATTTTGTACTTACCGCGGATTCCTTGCTAGCCAACTTACTTCATATGCTAATTTTGGGGAAGAGTTATGTCTGCATAGCCCTGTTCTCTAACAGATATATTTTATTCATTAATGCCATTTCAAGTGATTGACAGTTGTTTGACATCCTCGGTGTGGCTGCGCTTGATGTTCATGTTTATGCGGTGCCTATCTGTTTATTACCCACTACCTCGTCCATACTGGCTCTAGGAGACAGTTGGTCGTTGCTGGAGGGGACGGGGTGCACGGTCCTTGTGGCCGTGTTAGGATCAAAGCGTGGTTCCATGCACTCAGTGTGGAGCGGACTACGGTCCAGCAACCGCCTTGTGTGCGATTGTTTCCCAAATATAGCGTGCTTGTGTTTGCCTGTCAAGGAGTGTGAACTGTCTCCATTGATGAAATCTGGCTCCCATCCACATGCTTCCCGGCCTTAATTCCTCCGGTTTACACTGGATATCAGATGTGTGGTTGGTGCAAAACGAGCCGCCTATGGTCCCTCTGTGGGCGCAGGCGTCCAGTGACTAGCAACAGTGACAGGCAAATCCGAAACCGGAAGCAACCAACTACATATTGCACAGGGGTATGCGAGCGAGAGTGCAGCTGAGTAGTGAGACCTCGGATGACTTTGCAGTTGTCTCTGGTGTGAACCAAGGCTGTGTCTTAGCTCCTGCCCTGTTTAATATATATCTTCATGCAATGTTGTGCTTTTGATGCCGTTTGTGCTTAGGGTGTTCATGTGGAGCACCGTATTGATGGTGGGTTGCTGAACATCCGTCGTTTCGGTGCGAGAACTCTAGTCTGTGAGACAACTATCCGTATGTTGCTGTTTGCTGACGACTGTGCGTTGTTTTCACACAGCGCGGATGAGTTGCAGCACATGACTAGTGCTCTGGCTTCGACAGCGGCCAAATTCGGGTTCACCATCAACACAAGCAAAACTGTCTGTCTCTTTCAGTCTTCACCGGAGGTGCAATCTTCAATATTGCCGCGAATCAGCATTGGTGCTGAGGTACTGGAAACCACCTTCCGCTTTTGCTACCTTTGGAATGTGATGTCGACTGATCAGCAACAACACAGTGAGCTGCCTATCCGCGTGTCGAAGGCAGCGGCGGCATTCGGGAAGCCAGAGTACCGAGTGTGGAAGAACCATCAGCTTACCATTGACACGAAGGTGATGGTGTGCAAATCCATGGTGCTGCCCGCTCTTCTATACGGCAGTGAAACGTGGACGATGCATCCGCGGGATGTGCGATATCTCGAGCGGTTCCATCAGCAGTGTTTGCGAAGGATTCTGCGCATCGGATGGAGCGACAGAGTTGCAGACACGGAAGTGTTGCGCCGAAGTGGGATGTATACAGTGGACTGCATACTTTTACTGAGACACCTGAGATGGCTCGGTCATGTGTGGCGTATGGATTCGACTCGGATACAGAAACAACTATTCTACGGTCAGCTGAGTATTGGGAAGCGGCACGTGGGGAAACCAAGGTTACGTTACCAGGACATGATCAAAGTGAGCCTCACACGCTCTAATCTTGATTGGAGGTCATGGGAATAGAAAGCGGTTGATCGGCGCGTATGGCGCGATCTCATCACGAAGGCAGTTGCTGAAGTGCAGGAGAAAGACCTCCTACATGCAGAGAAGAAGCGGCAAGCACTGGTGGATGGTATTCCATCGACGTTGAGTGCATGGTGCTGTAGCACATGCGGTCGCGAGTGCCTGAGTCAGGCAGGCCTAGTGAGCCATGAGCGAGGCCACTCGGGACTACTACCGAAGCGCCGCCGGGTTCTGCAGAGAACGTAGGCAGAACCGGCGCAGCGTTTGTAGGTACGCTGCATTCGATTTACTAACCGCATGCTTGCATGCTATGTCTCTTTATTTCAGGTGGTGGGTTTTCATTTTTGCCTTAATGCTTTTCTTTCCCAAATAAATGCCTAGTTATACTCTTCTATACACCTGCACACGTCGCTTAAGCCACTTGTAGTTATTTCGATAACATTTTCGTGTTGTAGCATTTCCGTAAAATAAACCTCCTGACCTCATGAACTTACCTCGTATACTTTTGTAAACGTATTCTTTTGTAAACAACTTATTTCATATGGTCACCAATTTAAGATTTATGTCACCGTTTGCTTGCGTGCTAAGTCTGTTTATTTCAGGTGGTGGGTTTTCAATTTTGTTCCAATGCTTTGCTTTCTCATATAAATGTCTACCTGTACTCTCTTCTTTAAACTTGCGCACGTCACTTAAGCCAATTCTTGTCCTTTTCGAAAACATTTTTGTGTTCGTGGCATTTCCGTAAAGTATACCTTCTGACCTCATGAACTTATCTCTCATTCTTCTGTAAACAATTTACTTCGGATGCTCATTCCTTTAAGTTATATGTCATCTTTTCCTTATGCATTCTCGATTTATTTTCTTTGTTACCTTTCTCTCAAGTGATTGGCTGTTGCTTGGTATCCCCGATGAGGCTGCACTTGATGTGCATGTTGACAAGGTGCCTACCTGTCTATTACCCACTACCTCGTCCATACTGGCTCCAGGAGACAGTTGGTCGTTGCTGGAGGGGACAGGGTGCACGGTCCTTGTTGCCGTGCTACGCTCGAAGAGTGGTTCCATGCACTCAGTGTGGAGCGGACTACGGTCCAGCAACCGCCTTGTGTGCGCTTGATTCCCAAACACAGCGTGCTTGTGTTTGCTGTGAAGGAGTGTGGGCCGGCTCCATTGATGAAACGTGGCTCCCATCCACATGCCTCCCGGTCTCATTCCTTCGGGTTTACACTGGATATGGGGTGTGTGGATGGAGCTGTGGGTGGTGCAGCGCAAGCCACCCATGGTCCCTTTGGCTGGCCACAGTGACAGGCAAATCCGAAACCGGATGCCGCCAACCATATATATATATATATATATATATATATATATATATATATATATATATATATATATAATTATTTATTTGGTTACTGCTGCTAATTAGTGTGTTTGCTGAACAGTTTTGCAAAAGCAAGTAAAGATTTAACTTTGTATAACCCCATGAAAACATTAACATAACGTTAAAAGAAAATAAAGGCTGTTCTATGATTTATCAGTACTCCAATCACTTTTAGATTCTCTCGCAATATTGTCAAAATTATATAACTCATAGTAACTCGGGACTTCCAAATATATGAAATCATTGTCATTGAGTCATCCACCCACACTCGGTATATTTCGTAATGCTGTGTATGTCTTGTTTACCTCTGCGTCCTCATTGCTTGGCTACGTGATCTCAATTTGATCCGCGATGTAACGTGAACTTAACCTCTCTCCGTTCGAAGTATACCATTGTTGGCTGTTCTTCTCCTCGAGGACGGCTGCACAATCACCATCACAACTTGGTGCTATACTGAACGCGCTTACCAATAGTATCTCCGGCGCGCGTTCTGTTCCCCGTTAGATGACCTCTACTTAAAAAGAGTCCAAATAAGGACTAAACTGCTCGTGCAATGCAGTTTTAAAACTGGGGAATGGCTGGTATGCATCTGTTCGTAACATTGCTCGCTGACATAGCGTGAGTTCCTCTGGCTCGTGAGCCCTTTTGTATACCATTGCACCATTGAGGTCAACTGAGGCAAATATCATCCACCTGGAGTTGTTTTTTCGCACATGTTTTTACACTTAACCCTTACACAGCACCCATTTTGACACACGACACTTGTGAACCGAACGTCTCTGTTCCATCAAATGTTTTCACAATCCTTTCGAATCCGATTGTTTAAGGTCCTCCTCCTTTACTGACCGAATTTGTTTCTAATTGTAACTGTCCATCTTAATGATATTTTCCTCTCGTCTCATTAACCATCCTAATTAACTCGTCTCTTTCACCCACTAAAATCACTTGCAGACGTTTTACCCAGCTGTGCCGTCTAATAGAATATTTGAACTTGTCCGGTTGTCAGAACCTTACTAACGACACATGTGAACATTTGGGACAGAATTGTCCGCAATTAAAGACCGTCCTACTGGAATCGTGTTCGAAAATCGATGATGCTGGGATGGAACTCATCAGGTGCGTAAATCATAATTTTTGCCTTCTTACTCCTTTTCGTACTATCGACCCACCACCCTGGTGTGTGTGTGTGCCTTAATTGTACGTGTGCCATTGTGCACGCGCAGGCTTTCACATGTATTGTTTAACGTTGTTTCACCACTCTCACGTTGTGCATACAACCGCGCTGCATACGGTTTTAATGCATTATGCATAATTTTTGCTATTTAGAGCCTTCTTGTTACCTGTCTGCGCAATCACGACCTCTGTCACCAAACAGTGAATGGGTCTAGACAGTTTTACATTGGGTCAGCTTTAGCCTCGTCTCGTTGTAGCGAGGATCCGATAGAATATGTGTTGAGTTTCCTCGCCCGCCCTCCCCCACCTCACCCACAACGCACTCTTTCAACTACACCGAAGCTATCCGCACGCGTAACATGTGTGTCGTGCATCTCGCCATCGACGGCGGGGTTTGCTCTTTCGCTCCTTTTGAAGGTTTACCGCTGTAGTGATAAACGCTATGTATTATTCATAGTTGGAAATATTTCGGTATAGTTTTATGTATTTCACACTCTATTCCAACTTTCCTCATTCCTTGTTTGCGCCCACTGCTTAAAATTTCACCATAAATTTCGAATGAGAATCCGCCGGAACAGGCTTTGCACGTAAAACCCACGTAAACTACACCGGAATAACCCACAACTTCCGCTACACACTAGTCGTTCTGGATGAGCGTAGTTGGTACAATCACATGACCGTTTATTTCATTTCTTGTTGTTGCTGTTGTTGTTGTCTTATTTGTTTTAAACTTCATATTATCCACACCACGCTCACTTTCGAAAGGTCCGCGTCAGCTGAAAATTAGCGACTTAAACTCCGCTTATTAGGGGACAAACAAAGCAACATATTCAAACTGCGTTACATCCCCTAATATAAATGACTTTTGCCTCACCCGCGTATGCTCAAGGATTCTGGCGATTCACATCCGAAACACGCGCGTCATTCGCCCATCGCGTAACCACACTGTTTGTCTTTCTAGCGAACGGTTGTAGAGCTCAACTTTGACACCACCTGCCGTGGTGGATTAATTAAGGATAGCAAATAATGAACTTGGACTGACTCTGCACATAATCATCCAGCTTACGCGGGTATATGTGATGTAATAAATAGATCAGCCGTTTGGTTTATGACCTCTGCGCTTCGTCTTTTAAGTTCCACTCGCACGTGGTTTTGGTCATACACTAGCGACATCCGCCAATCCATTCGCAGTTGCTTACTTCGGAAGCATCAGTGCGGCACACGGTATGCTGCCGCTGAATATTTTTCATTTTATTAGTACTTCAGGTGAGACAGACGAGCAGTTGACTCATTTATGATCGCTCTGGCTAGACCGCTAGATGGGGTGTTTTGACGAGCACTTCAACAGTCCCGCGGCAGCCCCGTTCGTTAATCTTCCAAGTGGCCTCGCTCTACTAAGATGTAGGACTGCATCGGCACTAAACGACCTTCCTCAATCGTTACTGAAAGACGAATGCCCCAGCCACTTTATTCTACACTAAATAATATATTGTAGTGGTGTTTTCGGACCGGTGGTTGCCAACAGTCGTCACAACTAACACGGTCATCTGAATTGTTGCGAAAACCGTCGAGGTATTAACTCCTTTGCTCAACTACGGTATATTGCGGTGGCCCACTGGTCTTTTTGAGAACAAACTCGGTGGGGGGGGCACGCTGACTTCCATTCTGATGGTGAGTACATTGGCCCCCCTTTTGTGCACTGGTGTTTACCAATGCAGCAATATGCTAGGCTATAAATCTCCCTCCAACTCTGTCTAACATTAGCTCTGTTGTTGTTCTTGTTCAATGTGTTAGGAAACTTTTGACTTTCCCATGGCAACTGTAGTACGCCTGGGTCGCTATGTATCCCGTTTCTTGTTCGACTTGGTGTTCGAAAAGACCATAAATAGCTTAGCCATCTCAAACTGTTCTTGAATAGAGAACTAGCTAGATGGTTGACTGGAATACATAATGCACATGGCTGGCTATTCTTCTCTAGTATAACGAAGACTGTGTACTGGCAACTTCATCACATCTTCAAACTGCTAAGCAGTGTTACGGAACCATACCGATACATCGTCCTTTCGGGTTATCCAGGTGATCGTATCGTCTGTGTTGATACCACTGAGGAGGAGGTAACCGCGTGTATTCTAACCAAAGCTCATGTAGCTTCCTGAAGTCTCAGTAACCAACGAGGACGGTGAAAATCAGCATGTCTCTTAAAAGTAAGGTTTACAACGCTGCGATGGGGCTAATGTTAGTGTGTGGCCACCTCACACTGAAGACTAAAATATGTCCGCTTTTTATCAACAGTTCTCATGGAGATTTTTCCACATCTGGCTGGAGCACCGAGTTCTCAGTACTAAGACCCACTAACTGCTGTCTAAAGAATTGATTACTCCGGTTCTTCCAGTGTCCGTTGACCGCGTGTTTCAATGTGTATTTCGTTGTCGCTGTACCTAGTTGTGTGAAACCGCGAGGTGTCCAGCAGATCAGGTGACACTAGAACGTGTGCACTGAAGGACTTGGTCTGTTTCGTGAAGATTCGTCATCTGCACCTTCATACCATGCATGTCAGTAGAGAATGAGCCGTGCTATTTCACAGTTAAGTATCAGTCATGGCGGCCCAGTGGCATGAGTCGCTGGTTCGCAAGAGTACGGTCATGGGTTCGAACCCGGCAGGATTCGGCGGGTGTGCGCCACTGACGAGTCCCAGTCATTGCCATCATCATTCTACATGTAAGCTAGAGGCGAGAAACACCTCAACTACTGTACCACAGTATATAAAAAAGGAAAATGCAACAGATGCATGCCAGTTGAGCTACCAGTAACGGATGGGCATCGTTCCGGAAAGCTACCAGCATGCTACTATGCAGCAAAAAAAATTAACTATGAAAAATTATATAAGGCTAACTGATCAGATCGTGGTTGGAAAGGGAGACTAAGTGGGATGGGGTAGAACAAAACACACAGCACGAACGCCATTGAGATCGGCTTCTATCCATATCAACTAGTGCATCCAGCCAAACGCATTCATCGTCTTTCGGGCCCCAACCATTGAGCCGAGACGCTCCAACCGAGGCCAGCTTCAAAGTGAGGGCCTTCATTCCTCTCGATTAAGTTATCGCTTGGCCACCCCTTCTCTTCTTCCATCCACACCCCCGGCGCGCAAACAACTCATGTTGCGGGTACCGGTGGGTTGGCATGCGTAGCACGTGGCCGAGCCATCGGAGCCTGGTACATGAAATGACGGTGCTGAGCGGTTCATTTCCTTTTTCTGTGCTATAAACAAGGCGTTGAACACGGTCGTTGCTCACGCGGTGTTCCCACCAGATGTAAGCCAAACTGCGAAGGCACTAAGATTTTTGCGAGTCTCATTGTGTTCGCTTCCAGTCGGAATGTGCGACGGGCATCGATAAGTTCCAGAGAGTGCGAAGTGATCGAATGTCTATGTTGGCGACTAGACCTACCACTTGAAGATTTGCCTGCTGCGAGTAAGGTCTGGTGAACACGAGACCAGTGAATTTCAGTTGTATACATTGAACACTTACTCAGCTCACATGTCAGCGTACTTTATAGGCATTTAGAACAACTGGCTTCGTCAGTTAGGCAAAACGCATCCGAAGGTCAACACATACAAGTGCATTGTCGGTGTCCACATATGTGCTCCAAATCGAGCGGCAGTTCTGGACGCGCCCTCTCCAGCGATACCTGATTGTACTGTGATCCATTTGCTTCCATAGTTGCTTGGGTGCTGGTTGGGCGCCTAGTCACCCTCTGGCTGGTGCTGTGTCGGAAGTTAGTGCTCACAAGAAATAAGCGGGCATCTTCACACAAATGAAGTGACCACTCACCGTTATCATTACGGGAGCCTGCACCGTGTTGGCCGCCCAAATGCAGCTCTTCAGTGGATAATTTTCCAACTTGAGCGTTCAGATCTTCAGCCAGCACCACAGTGACTGTGTTTTTTTCTGTGGCGAAGGAACTGGTTCAGTTGGCGATAGAAGTCGTGGGCGCTTGTTAGGGATGACGAATAGGCACCTGCTTGTCCCGCGCGACTTCGAAACTTGTATAGTAATAATACTACTACTAATAATAATAATAATAATAATAACGTCTCAATTGTACGCCGTAACGGCGCTTCGCTGCTGTGCGACCACCACCGGTCGCACGCGGGTTGAGAACACCGCGAGGACGGCCAGCCCTACGCGGTTTCGAACCCGCACCGCAAGCTAACGAGACAGGCTGGTTACCTCTAGGCTTTGGGCCAGCCAATCGGACCGCACACATGCGGCTACTGATTGGGATCCAATCAGCCAGAGCAGCTTCAGCCCGGGGACTCAGGGCAATACCAACGCCGGCTTGGCCGTTACTCGAAGGTACATCGCCTCCCGATAAATGCGATGAGAAAGTACTGATGATTTCGCCTGAAGTGGATCGCAAAGGGAGCACAGCTTGAGTCTTGCAGGCGGGTCTCCGATAAGCAGCAGATATCGATCGAGAAGGTCTATAATGTTCGGGCAAGTGCTGCCTGTTGACTGATTTGAAGCAATGTGCGTACAACATTGAGACATGCCAATCTGAAGGAGGATGGAGGACTCCAATTGGAAACCAATGAACTGGGCTTGACCGCTAGCTCGGATATGGGCTTCTTCGTTTGCTTGGATATGTGCTTGTCGACAGGGCAAGAATGACTCTGCATTCGCATGTGAGTTAAAACTAGAAGGTAAAAGCCTATCAAAGCAAGATGGGGGAGGGCCAAGAATTGGGTGGTTGAAAACAACGGGGATAATAGTGAAGTTGGAACGGGACCATAAGGGTAAACAGCGTAAAAGGGGGAATAGGACGGAAAGGTTTGAGCCGTAGCATTCAAACCCCTATCGACCCCGCTCGATGCAGCAGATAGGGCACCATTGATTATCCTATGCGTTGGCCAGAGCATCAGGAAATTGTTTCAGAATAAA